TTTTCAGCGTTAACAGGTAATGCTTTGTAATGTTCTGGAGAGGTATTCAGACTTCCCATAGTATGTTCTTATTCATCATGCCACATCTTAATGTGACACAGTGTTTCCATTAACTGCCTATAGCACGCAGATGGATTTCGAAAAATTTATCCTCCGCCTTGGAACTGTTGAAATTTTCCGGCAAGAAAATGCTTATTGTTTAACTGGTACTTTGGTTTTAGTTTTGTTAAGGATCACGCCATATCACTGGTCTAAAGATATATGTACGTTACTCCAGTCGATGCTCAATTTATGTGACAAGGCCTCATAGACTTCAACGAACAATATTCAGGATTAGATCTTCCCTTAGAAACTGTAGAATTTACAGGTTAGAAATTTCATTGTGGTTGAGTATAGACGTTGTTGAGATTTTAGGTATCTACATCTAAATTTTAAATACTTATTGCCGCTTATCACAAACGTTTTATTTGACAAAGGTTTCATCAACTCCTGGAAGATGGCAAGTAATTTGGACAGGGATGTTATGCTCTTTTGAATAAGATTTTCTTTCAAAAAGTTATTTGATAACTTCTGTTACTGTTTTGAAGTACCGTACTTCAAACGTTGAAATGATAAGATTTCTTATCATTAGCAGCACGAATTGGTTGTGTGAAGCAAGCGTTCATAGAATCTGATGCATGGACTAGTTTAAGATTCATTCCCGTTGATGCTTGGGAATGCTTAGTGTTGAACAAAATGGTTTTTTACTATTCGCGTAATAAACAAGGAGGATATGGTCAGATTTTTTTTGCTATAATATCGTGATTTAGTTCACCTGGGCTGTCTTTGAGTAGCCACGAGTGAAAGTGCTGGTAAGTTCTGCCATGCCATCAAAGAAATATTCGTAGATTGATGCACAGTTTTGTCTGTTTTTCTTCTGTTGAAATTCTGGTGTGCTATGACAGACAATTAGCCTGAATTTCAAGATTTCCAAATTTAAATTTTTCAGCTTTTTCACTATAAGTTCTTTATTTCTTAAGTTGTTTATTTCAAAATTTAAATGTAAGTTTCTGGTCATCAACCATGTCATATGTGACAAGGTTTACAAATCTAGCACAAAAATTATCAGTATTACCTCCCTTAAACTTAGAATTTTTATGGGTAAAAATATGTTCTCTTCTGCTCACATGTCACTAAGTGACAGGGTGAGCTTTTGTGATTGCTTTATGTCTGGCCGGCCGTCTGTAAACTTTTACTTTAAATGACATCTCCTCATAAACCACAGAGCCAATTTCATCCAAACTTCACAGGAATGTTCCTGACAGTATTAATTATGAAATGGAATTAATGACTTAGCTTTATAATTATTTAAGTTTTTTGATGTTTTAATTGCATGACATTTAATTGTACCTGCTTAAGTCCATTGGTGCCTACTGCACCATTAAAAAATGGTGTTTTGTCCGCCTCTGCCATTCCCTCTAAACTTCTGAATAACTGAAATACAGTATGCAATTTATATATATTTTTTACTAAATATTCACAAAATGTCATAATTATATGCAGAACTATTTTTGACATTATTATTTGATAAGTTTTAAACTTAATATTGAATGATTTTTTGATAAATGTAATTGAACCAGTGTTTTTTTCTTTATATAACTACTACCCTAAAACGGTAGAAAATAGACATTAAAATTCCCAATTTCCAATGTTAAATTCCCAAAATGGCTGTTCGAAATGCCCACAAGACAAAGTGAATTTTCTAAAATCATTTAAATCCAACATATTCATATGGAAACACCACTTTAAGTAGTTCTATCTGGACAGTAGAGCGTGTTGAGCTATCTTTATCATCGATGTCCTAATCTCATTTGTAGCTTGAAAAATGACATTAAAAAAATTCCCAAAATTTCTATCAAAAATTAAGACTGCATTTTTTCCCAAATCAGTCTGGTACGGGCACCATTCCCAAAGTAGAGAAAAAAAACGCTGTTGAACTGAAGTCATGATTTTGCTCTGTATAATTACCAGGCATGATAAATCTGGAAAAAAAAGTCATCATTAATTTCATTACAGTTCAATGTTGTTACGAGCCAGGCGTAACTAGAAAGAAAAGCCAGCAACAAACTTGTTACAATATAACAAATTTATTACAGAAAAAATATTAAAGAAAAATAAAATAACAAATAACTTTTACAAATACCTGAAGTCCAAATAAAAGTGAAAATCTTAAATGTCTAGTCTGATCCTGGAATGATCCTTTTTGAATTACACAGTTAAATCCAAGTTAAATCCAAGAACACTTTAGAATAAATTCCCACAATAAAATCCACAAGAATAATTTATTTTAAAATCAAAGCTCCAATAATACACTTAATATCCAATTTGAATAATACTCCAAATATATTGATGACTTAAAAAGTAACTGATGACTTAAAACATCACTGATGACTTAAAAAGTAAAGGTAATGAAAAATGTCAATTCATATATATTAACTAAGAAAATTCCAGAAAGGTCTATTATGTTCTCAAGTAATCATAATCTAGCAACTTCAACAATAAAGAACATTCCAGAAGTTTCTATCTAAATATAATACATGAGTTTTCTACAACAGTTAAGAAAGTTCTAGTACATACATGTAGTTAATGTTCTAAAAATAGAACAATGATAATATTGGAAATACCAACTGGTCATATATAAATTATATACATGTAATAAGTTGCATACATAACAATGTTTAAATTCCCAAATTTGATGTTCAAAATTTCTCCAATGCCAAGTGATTTAAATCCAACATATTCATATAAATCATCAGTGAAAATTTCTAAATGGACATTGGAAACTGTTACCTATCTTCATTCATGATGACTCATCTTATTTGTAGCTGAAAAAATTCATTAAAAAAATCCCAAATTAAGTCAAAATAACGCATTTTTCTCCAAAATGTCTGGTACCGGCACCATTTCCAAAGAAGATGAAAAAAATGCTTTAGTTACTGGAATTTGATTTCTGGTTTACAGCTGAGTATTTTAAATCATTCCCGGTAGACTCCGTACTAAAGACAAAAATAATGCTTGAAATTTTGCAAAATAAAATAAAATCTGCTTGAAACAGTTCAATATTTAAAAGCAGTACATGTAAACTGAAATTTCTAAATGTGAAAGATAACCACTTACATTCTGCGGGAAACTTCCTTCGCTTTTTGTTTTGAATCTGCTGAAAATTTCCTTCACAATACTGAATTTTTCATCCGAGTATGCCGCAACGCTCAACTCATGATGCAGGTTCCTCCTTTCTACTTCCTGTAATATAATTAATACATGTAAAATTACCAATATTAGGATAAGTCGTGCAAATAATAAGTACACAGAAAGTCTCAGAGAAATCAATTGATTTTTACTTCATTAGAAAAGGCAGTCACAAACATTAGATAAATAATGTTTAAATGAAAGTTTTAGTGATAATTACAAGCCATTTACATACAAAATAAAAAAAATTAAACCGTAATGTTTAAAGTTTGTAATTCTATTAAAATCTAAACAGTAAGTTGAATAACATGAACGAAAAGGTGTATTAAGTTGTATACAAAATATGAATTTACTAACTCTTCTTCATGGCATACTGCGTAAGATGATCATATCATTCATTCAAATCCCCAGTGAAATATTTTTCTTGAAAATATAGGCATCAACAGAGCACCAAACAATACATTGAACTGAATCTTGTTGCCACCCGCCTTTTCGAAGAAAATAGGGGGATATAGAAATATGCTCAATCTGTCTTTTCATCTGTTCTTTTGCTATTTTCCCTTGAATGAAACATTATTTGAAAATCATGGGAAATTCTCACCCCATCCCAATTCCCAAACCTCCCCACACCCCGTGCCTGGACCCCGTCCTAAATGCTGATGAGAGCCCTGTTTTTAAATATCTTACGCACCTTTGAGCATAAAATTCCAAGCGAGGTTGCCGCAATGTCACGCCAATCACAGAATTTAGTGAAAACCTTACGGCAGCACATCACTCTTTCCTTTCAAGATTAATATGAACAATTTTTTGTTAATTAAATCTTCTAACTATAGTATCCATGATAACAGATCTACATTCTTTATAAGATGTTCTATGCTCATCATGTATATAATTATGCAATAAATTTAACCTTACAGTGGAACATATTTACCACACGTTAATGATTTAATGTCTAAATTTTGCTTGTTGTTAGCTGACTTTGTTTTAATGGTTATAACCTTATTATTTTAGAATAGTTTGTCTTCAAAATTTAACATGATGATCTTTAAGGATAGACCCTTAAGTTGACCAGTCCAATCTTTACCTTCATTTATAAATGATCCGACTTTGGAGTTCAAGATTTTGAAATTTTCCATGTTTTGCTGTAACGGGCTAGAACATAATTTAGGATAAGACCTACATGTAATTCAAACTCAAATGACTTTTGCTTTCTCTTGAAATGGAACTTGACGGCTAAATGGTTGAATTTTCAAATTGCTATGACTGGATGTAACTTGTTAATTAATAGGATTATACTTATACTTTGACAAAACATAAAATTGGTGTTTTAATTTATATGCTCAAGTAATTTAATTGAAAAATCATTCCAAGTATTATGCATTCCATAATTGGAAATCACATATGGTGCTTTCCTCTTTTTGTGCCCCCACTTTAGTAGCAGGCATTTAAAATTACCTTTGTTCATTCTTTCGTCCATTCATTCTCTTTTGTGTCGCAAGTAACTCAATTAGTAATTGACTTGTAGAGTCATGAAACTTTACAGGAATGTTGATCCGCATGTGTAGTTGTGCACATTGGAGTTTGCTTGTGGATTTATTCAATATTTGTAATGTTCTTGCCCTTTACTTAGTAAAAGATTTTTAGTTTTCAATAAATATTTGACCTAGAGTCATAAGATTGACAGTACAGTGGCGTCGTGGGGGCACCCATATCCTACGGGCACATTTATAGTTTTTAATTGTTAAAAAGGTATTTGAATACTCTTTAAATCATCCCTTCTGGTACCAGCCATTTTGAACTTCTACTATCCATGTCTTTATATAGCAATTAAATTAGGTTGTGTGAATGAATCACATTAAAAAAAAATCACATAAATATGTATTTTATATAGTGGACAAAACCTCTTACCTTAAATGTAAACTCTTTTGTTTTACAAATTCTGTTGTGGGTGTTGGCAAGAAATTTCCCCTCAACCTCTGTTAGTCCAACGTAGATTTCTACGTCTATGTTGCTTTAAGGAAGAAGAACAAATGAATATGTATTTAAGTTGAAGAAGAAAGAGAGCTTTCGGTATTCTTCTCTCTTTTTTATTATGCGTTAAAACAAGTGTGTTCATTTATTTTTTATGTCAGGGCACTTTTTTGGATGATTTGGTGCATTATTTATATGGGTATCATTCACCTCTTAAAGTCATTTGTATTTTTCCCATATCTCAAAAAAAGGAAAAATCCCCACACTATTTTATAATAAACTTTTGTTTTATTTGTTAGTGTACATTAAAAAAAAATATTAGTCACGACTTCAATAGTAAGAACTTGTCCGGGATCTGTAAGAGTTATCAACATGAAACTTTTTAGTTAGATATATCTCATTGACTAGGTGTGCAGTGCGCAAGACCCGTAACTCTGTTTTGCCTAACTTTTGTGTCACCTTGAAAAGGTGACATTATAGGGGTTACTTTTGTCGGCGGCGTCTGTGTCGTCGTTGTCAGCGTCGGCGTCCCCTCAAGCTTGTCCGGAGCATAACTCAGTCACTATAAGTCTGATTGACTTCAAACTTGGTATGCAGGCTTCTTTTAATTACCCAAAGTGCAGTGCACAAGGTCTGGTACTCAGTAGTTCTTATTTTTTGAGTTTTTGCCCTTTGTTACTTTACATACTTTAATTTTGTCCGGGCCATTTCTCTTCAACCGAAAAAGCTGTGGACTTGAAACTTCATAGGATGATAAATCTCATTAAGAAGAAGTGCAGTGCACAAGAACTGGTACTCTGCATTTCTTAGTTTTTGAGTTATTGCCCTTTGTAAATTTTCATACTTTATTTTTGTCCAGGCCATTTCTCCGAAAGTATAAAAGCCATGGACTTGAAACTTCATAGGATGATAGATCTCATTAAGAAGAAGTGCAGTGGACAAGAACAGGTACTCTGCATTTCTTACTTTTTTGAGTTATTGCCCTTTGTTTATTTTCATACTTTAATTTTGTCCGGGCCATTTCTCCTTAAGTATAAAAGCTATGGATTTAAAACATCATAAAATGATAGATCTTATTGATAAGAAGTGCAGTGCACAGAAACTACTGGTCTGCACTTATTATTTTTTTAGTTATTACCCTTTGTTACTTTTCATATTTCATTTTTTTCCTAGCCATTTGCCTAATCTACATTGTTCACAAGGCGACACATCCGACTCGCGGAGTTCTAGTTAAATTATTGACTTTTGCCCTTCGTTTAGTTTTACAGACTTATATATTCTGTGGTACAATGTACAAATAAGATTGGGATAAAGTGTATTTTCCCACCAAATTTATATTAATGCATCACATAATTTAATAGAACTAAAAGGTATTACACGATCATTATGATCTGACCTTCTTGACTTCTATCTTCATAGATATTCATCTATGCACAGCATAGAGATACAGATTGATTCACAATGAATTTTATATTTTGTCCCTGGTTTTATAAGTGCTGTGTCCAGTTAACTATTTATTCAAAACATATACTGATAATATATTTTCATATGTTTTTTTTTATTCATAGAGAAATAATCATCCTTAAACATTCGTAAAAAAAGTTTAGAATTTGTTCGGAACACCTAACCACCAGTCATACCTTCACATGAATAATAATGTATGTTTTTGACAATGTTAGATTGCTTGCAATACTATCATAATGATTGCTTGTTTAATATGTTATTTAAATTTTATGTTTCAGTAACTTACCAGAAACAATTGTAGTCATCATTCAGCGGAAATTCGACCAACACCCTTTTCATTGCTGCCAAAAGGTGATTTCCCCCCAAGGCATACATGTTGTATGATGTTAGTTCATCTTCTTCGAATTGTTCAGGGCCGCAAACCTTTATATGAAAGAAATGTTGATTTTGAGATTTATATCTTTTTAAGTAAATTTCGACTAATAACTAAAGAACTTGTAAAATAAGTTATTTTCAGATACAAACATTTCTTTTTTTGTTTTAAACAATCACTAAGTTCCATTTAGATTTTATACAAACCTTTTTATCAGCCAAAAGAATTGGGATCCTTGTTATTGGTCTGATAGGACATTTTTTCATGTTTTTGTGTAATGATTCAATCCATTCCTTGTCTAGTTCTCTCACCAAGAGGTTACTTGGTGTTGGTTTAATGACACTAGTCTGTATAGTATATTGTCCTGAAACGGAATAATGTTTTGATTTTTTAAAATTGATATACCCAATTTAGTTATTCATACAATGCTTTATAAATGTGTCCGATGAACATGCAATTAATGATTTATGCTTGATTATATTAATAAATTAAATGAGATTAGTTTGTTTATACGGAATGTCGGTTGTTCTACTTGGGTGCCCATTCGTGCCTGAAATAATGCACGGAAGGGCACCCGAGGTCTTCCTCTACTAGTAAAGCTGGAACATCGCGATATGACCTATACTGTGTCGATGTGACGTAAAACCCAAAACAAATTTGTTTATACATTTAAATTTTGTAGATTCCTTAAAGCTGCATGCCTCTAGATGAGCCAAACTATTTCAAGAAAATGAAAACTGAGAAAAATATACTCATATTTCAAGAGAATTAAAACAATAAAGATTAATGTTGAAGTTTATATCCTATTTGTGATTAAAGACTGATTTTGCAACATTTTATCACCATACTGGTTTGTGAGATAAACTCGGCCGAAAATCGGTGTTATTGTGGCATATTTCATTTATTTGTTTACGTATTCTGATGAATCTTGCACCATAATAAACTTCAGCTCTTCAATATTCCGGTATCACCATAATAAAATTTAGAAACAAAACTGGTAATTTTAGAGGCCCTGGAAGAGGTACGTAAAAATGACATTTTTAACACGCGTGAGTAGATAATTCCGGCTCTTTGTTTTTCTTAAATCATTTTGAATGAGTAAATTAAAACGTAGAATACATGTTTAGACATTTTATTATTCCTTTGCTAGTCATATATGTCAAATAAAAAATATTTTGTATCAGAATTTTTGAGAATTACGTTAGTATAATGAATACATGTATCTATGATAACATGATATTAAATATGCAACGTACTAAGTAACATATAAATCATTTTAATGTTTATACGTTTTTTTTGTTGTTGTTTTTTTCGGTTTGTTCGTTTTTCAGTATGTCATAGGGTGAGAAAAATGTGCAGCATGACCGGGACTCATAAAAAGTGACCCAGTCCGGCCTCAAAATGAGCATCTACTGCGCATGCGTACATCACAAGCGAGTAAAAGTCTGTGCTATTTTTTAAATATCTTACCATACTTGACAAAATTTCTAGATATTGTCAAATTAAAGTGTTCGTACGAGATGGTGAGCTTACTAACATTAAAAAAGCCAATAACTTGATTAAATTATTAAAAAGCCGAGTTTATCAACCAGCCGAAGTTATCTCCCCAACCAGTGTCTACTGCGTTACTAACGCAGTAAGGACTTTTTTGCACATTTTGTCCTCTTTTGCTTATTTGAATGGATTGTAAGTGCCAATTGCAATATGTAAATAACTTTATTTGTTCACCTCACAATATTGTCAAATACATTTAATGATTATCAAAATGTTCATGAAATTTAACATGAATCTGGAGGCGTGCTGCTTTAACATTACAACAAAACGATTTTCTTACCAACACATTTACTTCGTAGAATTTTTATTTCCTCTGGGATATTTTCATTGTATGGTGTTATCACCTCACCATCCCATTCTGGCCAGTTATTTGAATTTTTATCTGAAATAAAGGTTGTGAGTTTTTAATTAAAAGAAGCAAAAAGATTAACAAAAGTAATAGATTCTCACTTTTCATTAATAATCCCCCATTGTTTTTCCAATACTGCAAACACTACATAACTATTTTACCATTTTTTGGGAAAGTTCATATAAAAAAAAAGTCAATTCCTGTTATATATATGGGATGGCATACTATTTTTCACAAATACATTAAAATTTATTCATATTTATCAGTCACCCTGGGTTTTCATTATCAGACTGAGACACCACATCAGTACATATTAAAATAAAATTGAGGGTTGAATATTTAGCCTGTAACTAGTTTAAAAGCATAACTGATCAACTTTGAATTGAATTAATTTTTTTTAATGTTAAACTCTCTTTTATATATGCCTTAAAACATTTTGGACCATTTCAAATAAATATGATACTTAGCAAAATACTGCTTGCTGCATGAACTCTAGATGTCCTTGTTTATTTTATTAATATTATGTCTTTGAAAGTTTGTAAACTTTTCACCATACTAGCCACATCTTGCTGAGAGTATGAGTAAAAACATTTTGACAAAATTATTCCCTTTTTTTTGACTTAATATTAATGTTTCGTTTCAAATTCCATAAACTTATAGCTTTGAAACTCTGCAAACTTGATTACCATTACGCACCAAACCTGAAGACAGAAGGAGGTAACTCTATCAAGCATTCTGACAGAAATATCACCCTAATTATAGATAGAATTCGTGTTAAATAGAGAATAACATACTACTGTCTTTTGATATCAATTTTATCAGGCGAGGCTGATATGGGCAAGAAAGGGCGAGGCTTGCCGAGCCTTTTCTGCCCATATCAGCCGAGTCTGATAAAATTAATATCAAAAGACAGTAGCATGTTTTTCTATTTATCATGTTACACATAAAAACTGCCAACATTACAAAATACTCTATTTTTAAATAGCGAACTTCGTAGAAATGGGCATTTTTGTCCAAAGAAATAATTCTTGAAAAACAAATTCCTCCGCCCCTGAAACTTAGAATTTGTAAATGGCGGCCATGTTTTTTTTCGACTCGAGATTATTTCCTGCGATAAAAGATACAACAGAAGGTAACACGATAAAATTCTTACCTTTAAACATCGATCCAAAATATCCCTAAGAATCACATAAACTTTACTGCACTTTGTGTCGTGAATTGTCAATCAAACAAAAGTCAAATCGGCAATCAGTACACAAACATGCCTCTTATTTTTTAAACGAAACAATTTGTTCACTTAATAAATAATAATCCGGCGCAATAAAGTGGTAAAATTTACAAACACAAGTTCTCAAAGAAAATCGTCTTGCCTGTTACATGATTACATGTATAGTATGACGTGAACATCGATGATGTCATTTGCAACATAAATTATGACGTCACTTCATTGAGTTGGTGCTTAACTATTCGCTATCTAATTGATTCGTAATTGAAATCGAAATTGAAATAATAAACAAATAAATATGAAGACTTGTTAAGGTATGAGATTACATTGTTGAATTCACATGCTGATGAAAATGAGAATATAAGCAATTGAAAAAAGTCCGTTAACAATGGGCGGGGCTTATTTTTGATATAAGGTTACTGACCTGATAACAAAAATAATTATCAGGCAAGTGTTACCGGACAGTTACCATAGCAGTTGCATGATAAAGTAACACATCAAACATTTTCATAGTCCATTGACATAAGGTTTTGAAACTTTGTAGACTTGTTCACCATCATGCCAACCACCTATTGACAGAAATAGATAAATCTATCAAACATTAAGACAAAATTTTATCCTGCTAATGCCTATATCATCAGCTGCAAAAAGCCTTGACGTATAAACTTATGATCTATCTCCAGTCGTTACGTCACACGATGACGTCACATGTTTAGCAGCAAAACAAAATTGCATTTAGATGCTATTTTATCGGGGGAAAAAAAAGAATGAAACAATTTAATTATTCTAAAATCACCTTCTCCATCCCGGCATCCACCATGTATTTCCTATATTCCCCTTTTTAGACTTAATTATAATTTAGGTAAATGTTTCCTTACACCTCAAAATTATTTTTGAAATTTTGCAGAATTGTTAATTAACGTGCCCACAACCTGTAGACAGAAAGAAGAATTAGCCCTATCATGCATTACGGACATAATTATGCCCCTTTCTTGACTCATATTAATAATAGGTCATAACATAACTGTAAGATGGATTTGGAAATAAATATCTGCCCTTTTTGTCCTTACATTTTTTTATTGTCAATGCTAATTTTATTATCAAGCACTGAGAATAGTCAAGCATGCTGTCCCATCAAGAGCTGTATTTTAAATCCAATTCAGCAATGTAAATGATAACTGTTTTAAAAATGAACAGGACTTTTGACAATTAAAGTTACGAAAATCAAAGTAATCAGATAAGATTTAACATTATTGGTCTGTTACTTGCAAGGTTGTTTCTTCACTAAGCAGGAAAATTTAAGAACCTGTGTGTAGAAGATTCTATGAGCATTATCAACTAAAAATATTAATTGCTACAAAGTTGCATTATTAAAAAAAAAAGTAGGTTTATTCAAGGTTCAATAGAATAATAAAAAATCATTTCGATTTTGTTTCTATTACAGCATTACTTAAAATTTAAATATAACAGAAATTTTTAGATTTAAATGTTATTCTATTAATAAAAAAAGAAAAATAATATTTCATTAACTAGTATTTGAATTGCTTTTTAAATAAAGTTTACAAATTTAATATATGTTCCATATATAATTTGGTTATAAAGCTCATTTGGAAATTACAATAAATGTGATTAAATATGCTTAAATATTCTGGATATTTTCAACAATTGTTAGTGATTTGAGGTTTAGGACGTGAAAATTTTACTGGAATTTTAATAATTATGCTCATTTATGTGTTTATTGAAAAAAAATTATCTTGTATACTTACAGAAACATGTATTTAACTTTAAATAAGAGGAGGAAAAATCAATGGCAGCGACACAGATGTTGAAGAAAGAATATTTATCAGAACACTAATGCAAGAACTGTCAACAGCACTTGATTTTTAAAAAAATATTTCCAATATTTTGAATCATTAAATTCTAATTAAAGTTATGCCATACATAATACAGGCAGTTAAACTGTATCAATGAATGTGAAAAAGACTTGATATCTGACATTTGAATGGAGTGCCTTAATAAAATGAAAACTAAAAGACAATTTTTAATCGTTGATAAAAATTTTCAATATGACAAATTTTTAATGGGTTCAGTGCAGTAATAAAAAGATAAATGAATTGTGCATAAATGAAAACACAAACAATTTTATAGAAAAAATATGTTAAGTTAATTTGGAAACAAAGTCACAAGCACGTTTGAAATGAAATGTATTTATGCATATGGAATAAATTTAAAAAAAGTTGTGTGTGTGTATGTTTTCCCATGAGACTGTATTAGGATTTTCCTCTGACATTTTATCTGTTAAAATATTGTATAATTACTTAAATC